AAGGAATAAGAAGTCACTTATCTATGGAAATTCTCTTCTCAGCTGTACTGGAGAACATGCATATTGAATCAATCTATAGATGATTGCTTTTTTAATCATCTGTCCCTCGTAAGGGGATCAGTCCTGCTTCTCCATAAAGGATCTTCATGCCATCTGTTGCTCAGACAGAGAAAATTATCTACAAAAACCTTTGGAGTCAGAAACATCAACATTTTTAATCTACGATAACTAACAATTTGCTGGTCCGACAGTTATGCTGTGCAATGTAAACACAGATGTGTGGTTATTATGATATTATTACTGTAACAACCAAATGAGACATCATCTGTGTCCAGTCTGGCTGCTCATCTGATGTGATGTGATTGTCGTCTGAACAGTTAAAAAAGGGCACAATGTGTCTTCTTGAATGCAATGGATACAATACTTTTGTTTTTTCAGAATGGAGACAAGATTAAAAAAGAGGCCTGTGGGACAGGACTGGACACAAGATCACTTTTCTCCACCAGCAAAATTTTCAACATGCTCTGACATTTTAGTCAACAAATGGATCATCTGAACTGCTGCATATACATTTTCAAATGACACTCAAAGATTTTTTTAGCCAAAATATGGGCTGTTTACTGACCCATTAATGTTTAGAGTGGCCCAAAGTAGACCCAAATGTGTCCGCTAAGTAGGTTTTCTCTCCGTGTGTGTGTGTATTTGTCAGCACGGTGGCTGTTGTGACACAGATTGCATTGCAACAGAGGCCTAAATGACAGATGCAGCTGCTTACCATCTGAAAAATGCCCCCAGGAGAGTGTGGGGAGATGCAAACAAATGTTTAACTTCGGCATTCTAGGAAGTCTTTGCAACGACTATGTTGGTCACATTTGCTTTGATTGTTTCAGAAGCTTCTGAAATCAGTGGATTTTTAGACAGTAATTGCAGGGTGGGTGCTCAGTCGCTGTTCTCCCAGCTGCGTAATTTGCTCAGACCAGACTTTTCTGGTACTTACTGTACTTTAAAGTTTTAGAGGTTATTCATGTGGCCTCAGTCAGTGATTATGAGAGCAACAAAACTCCGAGGCGTCTCGAGGGGCTTACAGCATGTCCCCGAAAATCATCCCAACATTTCAGAAACTATGCTTCAACCAAATGTCACAATCACTGTTTTTGGTCCATGTTGTGACTAAATGTTTTAAGTTTTATAAACAGGCCAATAATTGGAGTGTACTGGACCCCAAAATGTCAGTGCTATGAATTTACACAACCAATGCAGCCTGCTTGATATGAGGTTACGGCAGACATTTGCTCAGTTATACGTCTAATAAATAACATTAAATTCCATTGAAACAGTTTTCATTTATTTGCCAAAAGTATACCCATCACATATTTTATCTCCATCGAGAAGCATAAGTAAAGAAGATTTGGACAGAAATGCCTTGTTTTTAATGGTAAGGAGAATGATCCGTTAACCTTTAAGTGTAAACCTCCGTGTTGTGAGAAAAGGATGGTCTCAGCTGCCCTGATCTTTTTCACCAGACACGTCTCCAGCCCACATCCTGTCACAGCATCAGCCGCTCACCTGAGCGAGCGCTGTCCTCTGTGTGCGGAGAGACTTGGTTCTGACAGGTGCTGGTCCCCACCACACATCACGCTCGCCAAGTGCCAACACTCACTCTGCAGGCAATTGTAAATGAATGATAGAGCGTGACACAGTGACAGCCACCGGGGTTTTATTTTGCTGCCCTCTAAAATGGTGGAACTAAACTAATTTAGCCAGGTGTTTTTCAGGTCAACGACTGAGCCGTCCATCATTTTTTTCTGCACAACTGTGATAAATGCAACTAATTTGACACAAAGAAAAACTTTTTTTTATTAGAAGACCTCATTGCTATATGATTTCTCTAAAATAAATCTTCAGTGAGATTTCTCCAGAGACAGAACAGAAAAACAGTCTATATCCGTTACAATAGACGAAAAATAAGCAACATGAACAGATGTGATCAACTTATTTCCATAATAAAGGAAGAGTAAGTTTCTTAAACCATAAAATAATTGTTCAATAAGAAAAATCAAACAACATGATAGCTTAACTCATGACTGAGGTCAACACGAAAACAGTTGTCCATGTGAATTGATGAGAAATATATTTATCTTGGAGGGAACAACCAAGCTGCCGGAGAGCTGGAGAGAGAAGAAGTCCACTAATCTCCTTTACCTGCTGTCTTCCCCTCTTATCAGCTCATCTTTTCTAAATTGTCAGTGTCTTGCCCGGTGATTTGAGTCAAGTGACAAATAGGCACGCTGCTCTTGTTCTTGCGATTTATAATGTCATGACATCAAAATGGAGATAGCCACTCCACCTTCTGTGCTCAGCCTCTTTCTTTTGTTTAGACAGAAAATAAATTCAAGCAACATCTTTTTTTTCCTTAAAAAGAGCTGTCATGGATCCATTTGAGAATGCCTCTTAGACAGGCAGACGCACTTTGCTCTTACAGAGACACAGAGTGTCTGCTGTCTCTGAGTGAATTACTAAAGCTAATTGCCCCTAATTAGACAGGCTTGATTGAGGTGCTGCCTCTAATTTATGAGGAAGCTGGCAGTAATAATGTGTGTATCAATTTCTACATTCTAATTGTTCATTTTAGTATTCACGTCTTTCTATGTCTGTCACAGGACTTCGCGGCCTTGCATAAGTAGAAGTACTTGATGACTTACCAAATGGATTCCAGTTCAGTGACCCCATGTGAACCGTTGTTGAATATTTTTGGTCTCCTTTGTATTTGACTTTATTTTAACCACAGCTCAGGTTGGCTCAGTAATGTCAGCTTTACCGAGACTGGGTTTCATATTTTTATCCACCTATAAACGCCATGAAATGTGAGAAGATCCGACTAATGTGTTTGTTTTTACCTCAGGATATTGTATTTCATGTAGTTTCGACACAGCAACGTTCATAAATAAGGCAACTCTGCCCCCGTTTTGTGCGAGAGCTGCTGATAACAGTGACATATTGTTTTAATTTACAGAATTGTGACAAGATTTGAAAAATGTTTTTAATTTCCAACCACACTTATAATATTCGATATTCTCCCATTTAAACTTACAATGATATTCAGCCAGAGGCCTGACATGAACCGCTATCCATTTCCTCCTGAAATCCATGGCTATAAGCTTCTATTCTTTTCAAGCAGCCCGTTAAAAATATGCTATTATTAGACTCATGTACTCAGAAGGATTGTTGGGTGTTGATCATTGTTATTTAATGAGGCATGCAAGGCTAGGATTTCTCATCCCTTTAGGCTGACCATTTACAACGTTCAGCCAGGCTGGAGCCTTGAGATTTTCATAGACATGGAAATAACTATTTTTCTCTCTCCATAAATCATGTGAAAGATCTTTTTTCTTAACTTGCACCGAGATGAAAGGCAAGAGGTTCTCTGTTGTTAGGCCGTTGCAGCGTGTTGGTATTTTCCGCTCTGTATTATCAGTGTTGTGTTTTTCCTGGATTTCAAATTAGATCATCTTTGGCAATGGGACAATTGAAATGGTGGATATTTATAAATGGCTTTAATAAATACATATCTATCACGGTTATAAAAGACACATCTCACTGAGAGATGGTGGAGGGATGCCGCCCCCTGGTGGCCACAACATATATTTATTTTGGTATATATAGACATCCTGCTTTTGTGTGGCAAATCATTTCCTCTTCTTTAATCACCTGTTTTTCACTAATTTTTTCGATTAGATAAATAAAATTAAAAAGACGTGACAAGATATTAACCAAATTTTACTGAATAAATATAAACCAAAATGCTGAAGCTGTACATGTAAAACCATGTTCAGCACAAACAAAAGTAACTTTCAGCTGGATGTTCTCTTTAGATTTTAGAGTTTTAGTCAGGCCAAACAAGCCCGGCTTTAGCCCTGGGTAGCTTTGACAAAATAGACAGAATACTTTGACTAATTAATTCAGAGGTCTACTATGTCCAAAGAACATTGTTCCAGAACTCTGTGGTTTTCTCACTTGCAACATTACAAACCTGAAAAAGGAGAATATGTCTCCGGAGAAATCCTCTAGTCGTTTTTTTTTCTAATAATACTGAATTGTAACATATGACATCTTTACAGAGGCCTGTGGAGAATTAATCTGTTTATGCCGTTTCTCTGAACACGGCATGATTTGACCTTTGGATGAACCTGCTGCTGAATAACTGAATAATCCGTTTTATCACTTTGTATTGCTTACCTTCTTAATTCCTATGGATGCAATCGAGAGTTGCTGAATTTTTACACACACTAACTCTGCATTTTTGCTTCATTTTGTGTTGAGTTAATACGTTTTTTGTATGACGAAATATGTCATGTGTTCTTAAACTGATTAATCTACCTGTTAAGACCTGGTAAGGAACATAGTTGGCCTTTCTTTTGGAAACAATGCTAACTTGTTTAATGATAGCTCTTTTTTATCGTTTATTTAGCAAGACGAAGGAATATTTAGCAAGGCAGTTGCTTTTAATGCACATTGAACTACACCAAATGTATTCTTGAAAACATGCCTTAAAACCATGTCTGCCTTGAAACCACTACGTCCAATTAAAAGCTCTCATTTCCATTTCCTTTGAGGTTCCAGTGAGTATAGGCGTCAGTTAAAGCCTTTCATGTTGTCCTCATTCATCCAGTAGGATCATTTTGCCTTGATACAATTGATAACAAAGCCTCCCAAGTACCATTTGTGCATGATGTATTTGATGTGGCAAACCAGTGGAGACACAGAGGAACTATTACTGTTACCTGGAAACCTCTGATTGGATGGTAAGAGCAGTAAAATATAGCCCAAACAGCCTGAGATGTCATTTTTGTTTTTTGTAACACTCAAGGAACCTATCAAACTTTCAAAATGAGAAAAGAAAAAGACCAAAGTATTAGCATCATTCAGATGCAAAGCTTAGCATTCGCACTCATCAAAATTGCAGTTCACAACTAACAAAAAGAATTGACCACAAGCCTGAATGAGAAGTTTAAAAAAATTATTTATAATATGATACAAGGATATTCTGTGCAAGAGGTTGTTGGTGATGTGGAACCTGTACATTATGAACAAAGCACTTAAAAATTCAAATGCAACCTGAAAGCAGAGCATGTCTGCCGGGTCATGATCGTGTCCAGAATGGCTAACTATGAGGGTACTTAAACATATTGTTTCCACCAGTATACAATGGCTGTATAGGATTAGATTACATTATTTATATAAAGTGCAGTAGATATAAGCACTTGCAGAGAAGGCCAGAAGTGCTCGGTGACTGAGGTTAGGCCTACCGCCACAGGCAGGCGGTTGGCCGGTCAGAATCATTAACAGCTGGCGATAGCTCTGTGGCATACTAGACACTGAAATACAAATTTTATGAAAGGGTAACCAATCTGTGCAATATACTGAATCTTACATATACCAATATGAAGAGTTTTTCTTTAAAGTTATCTAAAATTCCCATTTTTACAATTATGAATAGCTGCTTGACGCTCCTTCTACGCTGAAGCATAGCACCACAAGCTATTGTTTTTTTTTTTTTCCCACCACTGAATAAGAAATTACCTGAAATACATGAGGCGTTTCCTGCTTTCTCTTATAAGACGGGGAATAAGACATCTTGGACATTAATGATATAAGAAAATATATGCACTGTTAGTGACTAGATTACATGTTTTTTTTTTATACTTTTCATAATTCTGCTTTGCCACTATAATGTTTTAAGGTTACAAAACGCGAGTGAATTCAGCATCACAGTTGAGTCTCAAGAATACAGGAGAGTAAAGAGGCATTAAGCAGTCCAACAGAATCTGTTCAGAACCTCTGCGTGCTAAAACATCAGCAGCTCGAGATTCTTGGGGTTGTTTAGGTCTGCTGGGAACCCTGTGGAAAGAGAGGAGATGCAGGTTTTACGATACGAAAGTAGTTAGGGAAAGCTGCTGGACAAAGGGGCTCCTTTAAACGCGATCCTTACTGAGTTGGTTCTTTTACGCTTCCAGCAGTCTGGATTGAGTCTTTTCTGTTCCTCAGCCAAAGCCTTGGCCTCCATGGTGTACATTCTCCTCTCTTCACTTTTCATCTTCTTCCACTTGTCACCCAGGATGACACTAATGGCTCTGCAGGAAAAGGTTGGAAAAGTAATTGCATTTTTTTTCTCCAGTTATTTGACTTCTTAATGGCCACACGGTGGATGTGGCAGGATAGCACAGACGCTTCATAACAAGACAGTTCCTGCTAGAAACCCAGCTGTATTCAAACGTGATGCTAAATTGTAGCATGAGCTTGCATGGTATGTTTGTTTGTTTGTCTCTGTCATGAACAATCAATAAAAAGGTGTGGTATGCCTCTCCGGCTATTTTATTTCACTTAAAATTCTCTCGTTTCACGGTAAAAGTTGACTGAATCTCACCTGTTGTCCTTTCCGGGATACATCTGTGTGTACTCCACTCTGTACTTCTTGGCGAAGAGCATGAAGGCGTTCATTGGCCGCTTGCATTTGGTTGGCGTGGCACCACTGGCTGTCCCTGAGTTGTGGCTCCTGCTTGATTTGCTACCGGAGGATTGTGGGGAGCTGGAGCGCTCCAGTTTGTCACAGTCTGGACTGACAGCGCCCCCGCTGGAGAGGGAGGCCCTACGCTGGCGGGCCATGCTGCTGAGAACATACACTGCTGAGGAATCCAGCGGGGTGAAGTCGTAACTGAGGACCAAAAGACGTGGAGATGTTTTAGTGGAAATTTTCAACTAAGCTTGTATGTTCCTGAATCAGGAAAAGAGATGAGCATGCATCAACTGTGTCCAAAACGGAAGCAGCAGAGAGCATCGCTGCCCTCAGACTGATTAAGGTCCCTGACTTAAGTCCCTGAATTCTAGGAAGAAAGAGGACGGTTTGAAGAACGCACCTTCTGAAAGTGTCAAATACCACAGAGTCATCACAGTTAATAGCATCTGGGTGGTTTGGTGGCAGGCATACATCTCCCAGCTGCATCTCATAGCAAGGAATCCCGTGGTGCACCACAGTGAGGCTTGGGTAGAAGGAAGACCATCCTGAGAGAAAGAGTGGTACATGTCCAGTCAGGTGGATTCTTAGGCTGCTTCTCTAAACACAACTCTGAACAGTTTGGATTCAGCAACTAGAAATCTCTGTTCCTCTGAGACTTATTTGATGGATTCCTATCAAACCTTTGATGCAATTTTTCTTTCCTTTCAGACCGACAACGCCTTGACATCTACTGTATCATTAAGGCATGCCGCTAAAGAAACAAAAAAGGTTAAAAAAAATGCAACTGTACCTTTGTTTTTGACAAAAAAAGGGTGGTCCAATCGGCATTCGGCTGTCAGAAAGCCCTTATCTGGCGAGCCAGGGTCAAAGGTCAGTTTAAGAACTGCCTGGCCAAAAGATACTGTCTCCTCATGGTTCACCAGCTTAAGCCCATCTGAACCATATCTCTGTAAACAAAGGAGGAAGTCAATAGTTGAGCCTTTATCTACCAGCATGATAGACAGCTAATGTCATGACCAGAGAGAAATGGTGTTCAAGAATACTAAAACCACTGAGGGGGAGCCATTTTGAGGTCACAGCAAGGTATTGTGTTTTAAAGCCCATCCTACAACCAAGATTTACTTGAATTATCTGATATACTAACATATCAGTTGTCTGTTTTACCTTAAGAGAGAATGAGGGTGCCATCATGGTGTCTTCATCTGAGTCATCGTCTGAATCACCGAGTTCATCAGCTTCCTGCCATTCCACATTAGGGCCGCGATGGAAGCGCAGGCGAGTTCCTGAATATCAGCACAACGGTGAAACATGGTGAATAGGCAGAAATGTGCACTGGTTTTAGGAGGATTCTAGAACTTGGATACAATAAAGCTGTTTGTTCGCCATGAAAACCTTCATGAAAGGCACAGCTGTTTTCATGTGTCCTTATCATGACAGATTTTTTGTGGAGTTTAAAATCAATTTTATTGAGATATCAAAACTCAGCATGGCTTAACTTCAAACTCTGTGTGTGTGAGAACATATGTGGTTAAGTTTCTACCTTTTAGGAAGCAATGCCAGCTTGTGGAGGGCCAGGAATGAGACCAGGCCATATCTTCATCATCAGAAAACGATGAGGACATGGAGAATACCCCAGACTCTGATTCACTGCTGGCCTGTTGCAAGTAATAAAACATTCTTACAACAACCTTGGGAAAAATACACATTCAGAGAATGCATGTACTATTCAGAATTGACCGGGAAATAATTACAAAGGTAACAGAAGTGAATGATTGTTGGGTTTTGGGCAGAGAGTGAAATGTTACCCTGACACGCCTGCGCTCCCTGAGGTGGCCCCTGGACGGGTTGGGTGCGCTGCTGGCTAACGGGGGCCGGGCGTAGGAATGTAAACTATTGCTGTTGCCAAAAATATGAACTGGGGATGATCTGAAAATGACAATATCAAGAACATAATATGATTTTATATATCATCTCAAGCAATCCTGTAAAAATAACTTAAATAGCTTTTCTTTTTGGCTAGTTCTTAACTGTAAATGCTTTTTAAATACATTTTAAAATTCAAACTGATATTTCAAAATGAATGAGTTTTGCTTCAACTTGAAAGTCTAGTTTTGTGAAACCCCCTGAGGTGCACTGGTGTGTGTCCTACTTTTTCGTTTTCAGTCTCTCAATACATTTCATCTGCCTGAGGCAATTTTTTAGCTACAGTGTACGTACGAACCTCTTGTGAGGAGCGTCCTTTAGCAGAGGGCTCTGAGGACTGGTCGCGATCTTGGCCAACTCAGCGAGCCAGTTGGTGTTTGGAGAGCCGCTGAGCTCCTGGTGAGACACTGCTCCCACCTGAAATAAGCCCTGAGACCTCTGGTCTTCCTCTACCTCCTGCAACTCCGGCATGTCATCTGGGGAGAGATTGCAGTCATGTTCATATCAAATAGGAAAAACAGCTCAGTTGCATTGATTGATTGAACAATATTTGGCCGGTTTAGCATTTTACCGTAATCCATGGCACACCCAGGTGAGGAAGGCAGGTCCTCGTTACACTTGAGAGGATCGAAGGACTCATCCATTCTCACAAAAAAGTTTTGTAACTGCTTTTTTTTCCAAAACCAACAGTGCAGCTTACTCAACTTCCATCATCAGACATGACACTTCAGCTGTTGTAGGCAAAACCAGAGGACAAAATTAGAACTTCCGCAATCAAACTGAAACTGCTAATGAGCTCGACTTGTGACATCAAATGAATCAGTCAGAAATAAGAAAGATTAAGCCATTATATCTACATCAACACACATGAAGTGAAAGTACTCTGTATTTATACTGATGTTTCATAAAGACATGGCATATGTTGAAATGACACAGGTAAGACTCAGGACTATTACAAAGAAAAAAAAGCCCTTAAGATGTTATGCAATAATTCCGTATGATTTGCAACATTAATAAGATCGTGGGGAATTAGGACAGTCTTTGGGGAATCCTTTGTCCCTGAATCGACACAGTATACCTCTGTGAGGGTCATGTGACTCGCTGCGTGGAGGCCTTGTTTATAAACTTAGAGGTTTGACGCATGCGTAACAAAGCTCATTCATTCATAACTGCGCAGCCAAAGTCAAAGAAAAGCATATATTGGTCTCGAGAAGTGGCATACAGAAGGTCGAAAACACGAAATTTGATAAAAAGGAAGTAATAATGTCGGTGACCAAGTAAAATTTTTGACGTTCCAATTAAAATCATCTCGGTCTTGACATCAAACCTGTGTGTTTTCGCTGTTGATACAAAGGAAGTCGCTTACTAGTTGATGTGAATCGGCTTACAAGGAAGAAACGACGCTCATTTGCTGTCTGACAACCCTTAAACGGTCGCTGCTCGCTCTGAAAACCCGCTGCCTCGTCTTCATAACGGCGGAGACAATGACACCATATCGTTGCTAAAAGCGTAAAAGAGCTAAACTCGCAAAAAAAAGACGAATGACGGCCAGGCCTAGTCTTCTTCGACTCCTCAAAAGCAACACCAGTGATTTTAGCTCAACCGTGCAGTCTGTAGGGTCTAACACTGTAAACAAAAGAATGTCAACAAGTTGAGGCATGACGCAACCTATGCCCAGTGCAAAATGAATGACACGAAAACCTCTGGAAGCCTCTTATACAAGTGTTCGGGTTAGGCACAGCGACTTTCACCAAATAAAAGACCTATTTAAATACAGTCAACTGCTGTCGGGTGGGTTTCTTATCACCAAAACAACAAGCGTCATAGCGAGAAAAAAAAAAAAAACATTGTCGATCTCAACCTGTCAGTCGACTTCAAATAAACCCATGACAACTTCGTTAAAACACCATTTTATATATGCAAAGATATGGATTGTACAAATATCAAAGCGAACATCAGTTCGAACCATTTATTTCTTCGAAAAAAAGTACTCAACTTCCCACTTACCATATCTATCGCCATCAAGAAACTCTGAAGCATTCACTCGAGGGGTGGGAATTGATGGTTTCAGAGGAAGCCTCCTATTGGTGCAAAGTAATGTCAATAACAGGAATAGGGATTTTTCATTGGATAAAATTCATGAGCAAAATATAAAGGTGGAGCTTAGTTTGTTGATCATGTTGCTATTGGCTGAAAGTAGATGCCTGTTACTACCCAGTAACAGCTGATTGGCAATAACACGAACAATACATGGTCATTTTTTAACTGCAATGTCGCAACTATAACAAGGACCACGGCCCTCGTACAGGTTATCTTTCGGATTAGTTTCTCTCCACTGTACAGAGATCATTAATATTGCTTTCAACAATCAGATATACCGTATTAACAGATGAATGGATTTTGGATTAATGAATAGTAAATGACTAAATACAAAATGAATACCTGATAAGATGTGAATACCTTTATTTTTTACCAAATAATCGTAAGACACACAAATATAAAATGTTCTTTATTGACATGAAAAGTGAAACATACTGTTTTTTCTCTCTAGCTGTTGTGGTTTTGCCTTCAAAAATCACCAGTATCACCAGAGGGGACTAAAGTCAGTATGTTTAAATGTTAACCCAGTTTAAAAACAATTTGAGGTGCGGACAGAATACAGAGGACTTCAATTACTGATTCAAAAAGAGAGAAAAAGAAGAGGACACACTTTAGATTCCCACTAGCCGAGAATCTGTACAAGTTGTTGTCAGAGGTAGACAGCAATAATGAATGTTTTCATAATGTATATTTCACCTACACAAAAACAGTATGAGTTCAATTTACGATAATACACAGATAAATCGATTGTTTCAAGACACTGCTTATAATGATTGAAGTCTAGAGGGGCAACTTATTCAGTTAAAAGTGGGCCTATATAACACAGCAAATACTCAGGTTTAAAATGTTACAGCAATGTGTTGTATATTCTTACAAAACTATCAGCTGTCTCTTGGAAGTTTGCTTTTAAGTAAAAGCAGAGCATTAGGCAAACAGCCACAAACACTTACTGACATGTTTATGAGCACAGACTTAAGGGATTCAGTCTGGTGATAAACGTTGACGTATTTTTGTAAAGAAAATGGTCACTACATTTGCCTGTGCTAAAAATAAAAAAGACGTGGTTTCAGTGAAAAATCTTTTTGGGCTCTTTTCTCGTGTTGAGAACCTTTTACCAGTGCACTGTGAAAACAGAATGCGACATACTTGGTCACAATTATCCTATGATATTGGCTTTGGCATCTGGCTTTTAACCAAATAAAGACCTTGGAACTTGTAGATAATAAAATACTGCAGGTGTAGCAGTAACACTGTGAAACAAAAGTGAAAATGAATAAAGTTTTCAGTCGACAAACAAACAATGCACCTGGCACTGACAAGTAAAATACACACTTACATTATTAAGGTGTTAAGTCATATGAAATGCAATTAAACAAACTTTAAGCAGTTCTGCTTTGGCTTACTGCAGTCATGATGCTGTGAGGCAAACTTTACTTAATTGAGCCTTATCTCAGTCTGTTTTATGTACGTATCTGACACTCAAATGTTGTAGTGGATATAGTGGATATTCACATTTCTTGTTAAAAACAACAACAACAAAAAAGTTTGAGTGGCTCTGGGGGAACACATCCATACAAGCCTCCCCACCCCATTTAACCTCTCATGGTCCATTGCAGTCATCTCATGCACTTTGTTGCTCAATCTCAGGGCTACTTCCAAACAGGGTCACCAGCTGCTCCTCATAGTTAGCAATGTTTCTCTTCATGATGTCCATGCACGGGCCGAGCAGCCTCTCAAAAGCTTGAACATCCATAACTGACAAAGAGAGAAGCAAGATGCAATCATAATTTAAGGATGCATAGAATCATGTCAAATAGTAACTGGCAAGTTGGGAAAGGTATAGGTTAAGAGGCCTACATGAGGACAAACAATGACTCTTTGTTGACCCCAAACAACATATGTGTACAATGCTTTATTGTCAAAAAGTAAAGGCTAGCCGCCACAGTTTTGATGTTTGTATGCTCAAAGATAATGACTGGATAGGCCATTAGAAAATACATTTTCAAATAAATTCACAAAAACTAAGGTGTTATATGCAAAATCACGTGGAACATGAGTGGCGTGCCAAAAGTATCTAGAATGACTGAGGTTTTGAAACTTCCTAAAGAGTTTAACATCCAATTAAGATGATGAGATTAAGCAAAGTAATTGGTGAAGCAAACCTGTAAACTTGATTGTTACAGCATCCCCGTGGGTAAAAACTTGGTTCTCAAAATTCTGTTTCAGCTCCAAATGCACTTATATAGCGGTAAATTATCAAGAGGGAACCATGCAAAACAAAACTGCATGAAACATACCCAAACATTTGACACTCCCCACAGCATATGCAGAGGCAGCCCTGGGCTTGTTTGTGACTAGAGCTAACTCTCCAAAATACTGGCCCCTTGTACACATGGCAATATCCACCTCCTCTTCCTCCTGGTCTTTTTTAGCCTGTGAATGAGATTAGCACACAATTAGATACAATAACACAAAGTTGGTTTGAGTTTTGGATTAAAAAAAATTGACTGCACAACATACCCGGTTTCTCTTCATGGTGATCCTAACTTGACCACTTTCCACAATGTAGAAGCAATCTGCTAAATCCCCCTGCAAGATAAATCAAGAAGTTAGGTGCAAATGAACAGAGTATGTGAGAGTATGTACAAGTATAAGGCAAGAAACAAATAAATGGGTGAATAAAATGACCAATAATACAACATGGATTCATCACCTGAGCAATAATCTGCTGAGAATCGTTGTATACTCTGGTGGACAGCACGTCTACCACCTTCATTCTTTCTGACAGCTGTGGGTGAGGGAAATATGTATTCTTAAACATGTTTTTTCTGTAAATGCAGGGTGTACATGAACACAGAGGTATGAAGTTAATCTTCACCTCTAAAGATGTGAGCAGCGGTAGTGTTTCAATGAATGCCTCATAGAGCCTCCTCTTCTTGGCATTGTTCTTCACTATGATCCTCCTGAATGTCAGACGATCCTGGGTAACAGATTCAAAGTAAAGAAGACGTTAATTTTCAAGAATTTAGTAGGTTTTCTTTGCTTGTTGATATAATTGTATAACATTTACAGGACAAAAATCCATGTATGTCGAGAGAAAAAAGGACATGTGAAAGTATATGTTCATTATAGATAAATGCTAGAGGTTTGTCTTTTTGATGACTCATCTTCAATGTGGAACTATATCCTCAGTAGTGTAGGCACAATAATGACGGGGAAATAATCCAGAACATCCTGGAAGTTCAGTGCAAACATACTGTTCTGGTGCCTATCGACAAACAATCCACATGAAATCACATTACTCAGTAGGTGTCAGTGTAAGCCGGATTTTAAGCAGGCAAAGCATTTCTGGGTGGGCAACACCCCCCCTGCATTTGTCATCTCAGTGGTCATTCATTTGTCATCTCACATTCAAACATTCTCATCCGTCACTGAAACATCACATTAAAAGAATGATTAAAAGGATACAATATCCCAACATTTAGAATGGCCTACATAATACTGTAGGACACTCGCTTAGTTTCATAGGATGTCTTTCAGCAAAAAAATATCTTCCCACGTCAAGACAAGAAAGCCAAGGTCTAATCTAATTTTAAAATACTTCCATGTGAATCAGACTTTGATTAAAGCTCAACCTATAATCTACGCTCAGAGGCTCATTGGCAGGTCGGCTCTTCCTCAGCTTTGGTTTATTACCCACTGAACGGAGACCCCTGCTTTTCCGGAGACTGAACTGCACACTTAAAGTACTCAGGTCAGCAGCAACCTGCACACTCTGCACAGAGATGACATAACAGAGCTGCTACCCACTTCTTAAGGACACAACCCTTACTGAGTCATAAACAAAGACAATACTTTGCATTAAACCACAAGTTGGGACTGAATCTTAGGACAAATATTCTGTCTACAAAGGCAGGCTCTTCTGTATAAGCAGTTTTCACTGGAATCAAATTCAAGACTAAACACTACACAAAATTGTTTATCTAATTTGAAAACAACTCATCTTTGTGCTGGTAAAAAAGGTCATATTGAGCCTCAAAAATAGTTTGAGGTAAGTCTTCATATCTTCTTCATTTCTGCAAATGGAGATATATGGTTAAACTTATCTCCAGTTGCCTGAATGTTCATAAAAACCCACTATGAAAAATAAAAATAAATTAATCTTTCACCCAAGAATCTGCTAATTCTTAGGAGTTCCACCATGTTCCAACGCTATGCTTTTTTTTTGCAGCAGAAGCTGATAACTCCTTGCAGAAGAGGAACTAGCAGACCAAACTCTCAACAGAGAAAACCCAGACTCAGAAGGTTTTGGATCTTAATGCTTTGACCTGCTTCTGCAGTATTCCGTCTCCTAGCTCTCAGGTTAGTATGCTGGCCAGCCGTATCTGGACTTGTGCTACTGGAACAAGATGCTTTCATGCTTAGCCTCAGTTAAACCGGCTCCTTTGTGCCCGGTGGAGCAGAAAGGCTCCTCAGCATAGCCGATGCTGAATTCTCCACCTAGCTTGCCCACCAACTTCACCTCAGCTTGTTTTTCATTCTTCCTTTTCTCGCACCACACACAGATTAGCTGCACGGTTTTATGCTACAAGTTGCCTTCTGGCTCCTCCAAATGGTCTACGTGGCACAGAAAGGCTCTATGAGCTAGCCTTTCTCAGACTTTCCTCCATCCACAAATGGTCAACTTTTTGCACAGGTGGCTAATTTTGCCCACGATACAAGACATAAAACACACATTGTTTTACAATGTGTTTTTCACAATGTGTTTTTCAAAGCGGGTTGTATTTAATGAGTTCAGCGTGCTTATTATCTTATCTTTGGTTTGTGTTTAAATGTCAGATGATTCTGAGTGATGATCGGTGTCCTTCATTTTCCTGAGTTTTATATGTTAAGTTATGACGATCTGTCTCTGTGGTACTGAGTAGCAACAGGGCCGAAGACAACCTGGGTGTTTATTCAGATTGTGCCGACTGACTGCACAGTGTGTTATAAAAACCCTGAGAAGGAGCCAGCTGTGCTTCCACAGGAAGGTGGAATGGTTTACTCACCAGGCACCAAAGGGCTCCAGGCGAGGTGGCGATGATTGTGGCGGCTCTAGGGGTGTTGTACATCAGTGCTAGTTCTCCAAAGCTGCCCCTGTTGTCATAGCAGCCCACCATCTTATCCATGCCCTCAACTTTCACAAAAATGTTAAACGTTCCACTAGATGAAGACACAATCAACAGAAGAATAATCAGCACATATATCAGCACAAAGAGCCACATGATGCTGCCTTCAGATATAAATGGACATTGTTTGTTTTTTTGAATTTGCATAGGACGCATGAGCACCTTTCAATTACATAGAAGTTGTCCCCATCGTCATCTTGATCAATTATGTGCTCTCCTTCCGTGCAGAGCTTCTCAAACATGGCATCCAGTACCTGAGACATCTCTTCCTATAAAGGATGAGCCACAAAAAAAATTTGTTTTAGAATAGCACACGGTTCACTGATGCAGCAGTAAAAGACAAGTGGCCTTGGGCCATGCACTCTTTTTTCTGCTGTTTAATAGATGGCTGTGTGCTTATGGAATAATCCACTCACTGGATCCAAATTCTTGAACAGAAGAATGTCCCGACACGCTTCCTGTAGTCTCTGTCTCTGCTCATCTGTTTTGGGGTGTGTGACCTGCGAGATACAAACACATTTCTGTCACAGTGGCTGACAAGAACACAGACAGAAGTTATTTAGTTGCCATCTTGTTTTCGTATCGACTAAATATTTAAGGTTAGCAGTAAAACGTATATGAGTGATGTGTCTGGTGCAGTTTACCCTTGGTTCTTTGTCATCGTCATCTTCATCAGGATTAAATGCCTCAGCACACACTGCATGAAAGAGACCAACAGAGAAAGCAGATTTAGCGTTCAGGGAGGTTATTTTATTCTGTATATGCTGGAAAATCTGTCTTGTCTGAATGCACAGATACAATCTATCATCTCAACATCAGTTCATAGCACTGTGAGAGTCAAAAGGGTTTGGGATTAAAAACAGCCCTGATTTATTTTGTCAGTGTGTTTTCAAGAATAGACTGTGATTATTTTTCGATTTTATTTTAACAATAATAAATTAATAGAAATCAATGAGCAGATGCCTCACAGTCCATCACTTTTGACCAGTCAATACCTTTTGAGAATGGGGATTTGAAGATATTTATTATATCAATCATGCCAAATTTCCTTTTTTTTGTGATCGTAAGATAGTTCTAAAAGTTTGCCCTTTCTTTCAGTCAAAAAAGCTAATATATTTCCTTGAAACAAATAATTCTAATGTTTTCCAAATACTGAAAATTGTAGTCGTCAGTCCTCACAGAAAAAGGATTATCCTGATGGTCCAACCTTACAATTATTGTGAGCAAGACATGATTACAAGTGGCACTACTTTTCCCAATCTCCCCACCCACGACACTCACTAAGATCAAAATTGAGTTCAAGGCCAAGTGTGCTCTCAGGCTCTTATTAATCAACCCTATTATAATAAGAGGAAGACAGTAATAAGGCCGGCGAGAAAATACAGTATACTGAAGCAAACGCAGCCTCAGTGTTTATGTTTCCATCACCAGTACTATTCAGACTTATCCTTTTTTATGAAAAATGCTCCCAACAACTAACTTTAGTCTCCAAAAAGGTACTCACCTGATGCTCTTCTGATGAACCTATTTATCACCGGGGCTGCAAGAAATGGAAACCATGTTACATCTTATTGCAAGCTAAATCTTTCTGACAGCAAAATCTCACACGGTTTAGGTCACAGTGGCACATGCTGAATATTACTCCCTAACGATCCATATTCATTGGGGAAAAAACCTCAATAAGGCCAGCTGCTTTGAAGTGGATTTCTGTCTTTGTATATCATTTGAATAAGAAATAAGAATGTGAACGTCGACCACACAAAGAGCAAACCTCCTGCACGACGGGGAAATGAAATATACATCACCTCATGAGGTCTGCATTGGTAACCGGCCAGTTTGTGTGCTTCAGTGTGTTGACCAATGCTTTTTATATAGATACATATCATTATTATCTAAGATTCGTAGAGAATTGAAGGAGGAAATAAGATACAGCTGCCCTTATGTAAGCACTGCAGCCGGTTTGGCAGACCACTACTCATTGGGATGCCGTGTCAGAGCTGTGTTGTTGCAGCTTTGTAATGGCCATTGTCATAAATACAACACACACACACACACACACACCCCGCAGGAAACACCAAACGCCTAAACGTGCCACACACGAACCGGGCTGGGTTTGAATCATGCGGAGCTCTCCTCGTTCACACTTGTGCCCTTTGTTACATTTTTACACTTGGATAATCAGATTAAAGAGCTCCATGGGGCCTACACCTAGAGCAGAAAAATATTTGAGCGATTCCACCGGTGGGGTGGGGGTTGGGGAGGGGGAAGGGGGGGGGGGGGGGGTCCAACAATGTCACCCAAACTCTCCATTCTGCATCTGTCGTTACTAGAGGCCATCTTTATAGCAAAAAATTAAAAGAAAACGTGTTTCAGATGGAGAGCATTGCACGTTCTGAGGCATCTTCCAGCCCGCGTGACCATATATGGCAAATGAGCGCGAGGAGGATGATGCGAGGCGGCCAGAATCCGGAGCATCGCTGCGCTCCATCTCCATCATCCCCCACTTCCAGCATCCTTCTGCACGCGGCGTGGCACGCGTACACACTCTCCCGAGCAGGTTACATTCGGGCCAAAAAACACATCCATCCACCTTCACTCAAGGTTTACGCGCAGAACGCGCACGCATCGGCCCAACCTATAAATTCCTCGTCGTCTTCGTCGTCGTCCTCCTCCTCCTCCTCCTCTCCGTTCTCAGAATCGATCTGCATGGCCTCGTCAATGAAATTGACCGCTTTCCCAGATCTCGGGGCCGAATTTTGGTCATTGCCGAAGGAGGCCTCTTTGGTCTCGCTGTCCTTCAGCTGGGTGAAGTACTGCAAGGCGAACTCGAGCAAATCCCTGGGCTGGTTCCTTAACACTTCCACGGTAAAGCTCTGTAACAGCTCCGTCAGTCCTTCAGGAATTTCTATACTCATTCCTATTATCAGTCTATGAATGTGAACAAAAGCGGTTGGCTGCGAGTCTGCGACAAAACCCCCCCCCAAAAAAAAAAAAAAAAAAAAAAAGGGACACGGATCAGATCAGAGGACGGAGAAAAAAACGGACTGCAGAGAGGGTCCAGCCGCGGTCAGTCAGCGGAGCGTCCACAAGCGGATCCTCCGGTTTTTCCTGAATGAAAATGGCTCTGGATTTTTTGGGTCCAAGCATCTTCTGCTGCTTCTGGCAATAGGAAACCCACGCATGTGACCCAGGAATCCATGGCAACCACCTATCCAGGGATTGCGTATGAGCAGCAGCAGCAGCCGCACAGAAAACTGCAGCCAGTCGCAAAATACTAATTGTGGGAAAGAGAAAAAGCCTCAGGTTGCAGAGTCAGCCTCGCAGAAGGAGGGGGAAATTCAACATTCGAGTTTGCTTTTTTTGCTTTCATCTTCCAGGGAGTCTTCTGTTTGGATTTACACTGTTGCATCCAAATTTGATGAGCCAAATATTCCAAACGAACATTCATGAGCAACCGGAAATATTAACTGACTGATTTAAAACAAACACCCCGTAAAAAGATCATCTTCATAATCTTACAAATAGTGTCTTGTAGAGGCTAGACATTTTAGCTATTCAGTCTGTGAATAATAAATAGATAAACAACAATTCATGTAGCAAGGAATTGATTAAAAAAGCCCTGGTATCCAGCCACCAACTAAATTAAAATGGTGAATTTGATTTATATGTAAAGGGAAAAAAGTATATTGAGGCAAAACTCATTAAGGGCAGTCAACTTTATAGAGTTTTGGACCCATCTCTTGTATTACGGAGAAAATTTCAACAGAAACTGTTAAAGAAATGTTCCATTGACCAAAAGTTAAACTTGTCTGAAAGTAATAACCCAAATCTTGTGTTGGGTGTTTATGCAATACCCAACACGTCTTATTTCACTGCTTACAAAACCTGCAATGTATTTTACTACGGATTAAAATACACTCATTTCTCTGACTGGCATCAGTCGATGGAGTAACATTATGTGTCACACAGGTTCACTTTCTCAGTTGAATTTTCATTAAATGCTGATCCAAGGGGCTAAAAATGGCAATAAAAGTGAAAATTATGAGTTTTTAAAAGTTGGAACTGTAAAAAAAGGAAGCACAGATTTTAATGTTGCATTGGAAATAAAAAATGTCAGAGGACAGCCTGGCAGGAGGGAAGCAGTAAAGCAGTCCAGCCATGACTCCACATCGGTCCTCTGTGGTTGTACTATGAGAGCCCTCCCCCTCATGTGGCCCATATCTGTCACCATTTATCCTTTGAACGTTTTCTCCCTCTGGAGAACGTATGAGAGCGTGCTGCAGCGCTCTGCCACCAGTTGGCTGCTGGCTCTCCCCTCCCCGCTGAAGAGCGTTTTCAGTTCATGGTGTCTGGAGGAGGAAGGGGCTGCTCAGGTCTGCTCTCTGAGCCACAGATCCTGATCAACGCTTCACAGCACAACAAGCAAACTCTGAGCAGCACAAATGGGGAGCATTTCTAAATCACCGTTAGATCAAGAACCAAACTGGGAGAGATGACTGAAATTTGTAAAAGGTCTTGGCCCTCTAAGTTCAGGGGTCAGGCCTACATGTGCAGACAAGGGGGCACTTCTCTCAGTACTTTAAGGCTTGACTGATGTCTGTCAAGAGAGATCTTATTAAATATGTAACACCTCTTTGTCTATAACTTTGGAAGTTTTTCTTTTTTGTAAATCAAAAGTACAGTGAGATTTAGAGGAGGTAAGGAAGCTTTGTTGACTGCTGCAGTCAGGCTTTTCATAACATTTTTTTTTAATGTGGGTAATACTGACCCCTACGGGGCACCGCTGTGCAGTGCAGTGTGTTGGAATAAATGAAGGCTTCTCTCCACCTACTTAACAGTAAGCAACCTATATTCAGTGTAATGAGACTAATTACCTCTGTTATAATAAAAAAAAAGAAAGAAATGGCATACTTTAACAAAGTACATTCACAATGTTGACATGAGTCCACTGTTTCACTGTGAAGATAAAAAGTTGAAATACATTAAAGCTCCATTAAGCTTATATTTTCTCAACCTTGATGAGTCCCCCCGTTCTTTTTTTTTGCAAGTCCAGAGGTGGCAAGTATAATGAAAAAATAGACCACATTTGAAAGGTGTGATCACATTAGGGAAAAAAAAGAAAACATAAGATGCTTTTTTTTTTCCAGGAAACATTTATTTGATCAACATACGGGATTGCATCCTTCCATAAACTGGTCAGTTAAATATTAAAAAATTTACAGTCATGAGGAATGTAAAAAAAAAAAAAGAAACCAAAAAAACAAAAAACAGAAAAAAAGCAAAACATAACGATCGCCTTAAAAAACCCCAACCCAGGGACCCACCCAGAACAACATCAACCACAGTGGTGCTGGAACATGGCTGGAATCCAGTTTCCAGCCCCAAAGTTACACATTCTCTCATTCAGTGTTTCACAGCTCGTCCTTCTCTGTGTTTGACTGAAACAAAAGAAAAAGAAAACACACATTAACAAGTGTTAACGTAAAACCTGTAGTACAGATTTTTCTTTGGCACACTGAACATGACGCGGCGTGCCAACTGCTCTCACCGTGTCATCGTCATCATCGACTATTTCCTCTTTTTCTTCAGAATCGTCGTCATCTGCCGCGTCCTCTGGCTCTTCTAGCTCCTCTTCAGGTTCTTCCTCAACCTGCACAACAGGTACATGTCCTTTAGTGAGTGGCCCCGAGCCTTCCCAACAAACCATGGAGCCCGTGCTAAAGCTAACGTAGCTCTGTAAGGAGCACGTTAATGTTGGTGGAGGAGGTGAAACCCTGATGCAAATGTGGAGGCCGTGAGCGTGTGCTTGCCTGTTCTTCCAGGGGGACGTTCATACTGAGCCGGAGCATGCGCTCTATTCTTTCCCCATAGGCCTTGGTGTCGGCCAGCTGGTAGCCAGAGCGCAGCGTGGCCGTCTCGAACAGGACCACGGCCAGATCTGTGGCGGTCTGGTCGTCAGCGTCGGCCTGAGGGAGAGGAGGAAAACACCCGTTCAGCGCTGCGCTTTTGGTTTGAAACCGATCCGCTAAAACCAAGTGGAGCGTAAACATCACATCACCCAAAACTGCACATATGCTGAGGGGATCAAACTTACGCTGACTCGGCTGAGCATTTGCTTGACGAGGGGATGTTTGGGGTTAATTTCTAGGGTTTTCTTCTGGCTGGCGTAATAACTGAGGAAGAGGAAGGAGAACAGACATAAGTTCACTGTGAAGCGACAGTAAGGGTCAAACCGGCCCCACAGAGAGCACGAGTAATAGCCGAGGGAACATCGCTACTCACTTTGTGGAAATGTCTTTTCCTGTCTGGTAGGCTTGTGCCTTCATGATCCTCTCCATGTTTCCTGACCAACCGTACTGACTGGCCACCAGAGCGCAGGGAGAGTTGGTCAGCCTTTGGGAGAGAATTGCCTTCTCGATCTATTGAGAAGGCAAACGAAATTAAGTACATGTGACTGGAAAGTCAGAATTTTGTAATCAAGCCAAAACTAATTGTGATCTTGTGCAGATGTGAGCGTCACTGGCCCTCTACCTTGTCCTTCAGGGCATGGTCCTTCAGCCAAGTGGTGAGGGGTTCAAACTCCTTCTCCTGGGCCTCCCTCTTCTCCTTGGTCTTATCGCTCTCTTCAAATTTGACGCCTTCCTTTGCCACATTCTGGAAGCGCTTTCCGTCGAACTCTGGCAGAGCCTGGATGCAGTACTCATCCACAGGCTCCGTCAGGTAGATCACCTCGTAGCCTTTCTTCAGCAGCCTCTCCACAAAGGGAGAAGACTCGGCCTGCAGGGGAGAAAGAATGGGGAAAATATGCTCATGTCAGCACATCCACGCTGCTTTTAAAGCTTGGCCCAGCTGAGGAGCACCGGCGCTCACCTCCTTCCTGCTGGTGCCTGCCATGAAGTAGATCTTGTCCTGCTTCTCCTTCATGCGCTCCACGTACTGCTCCAGGCTGGCCACCTCCGTCTCGCTGTTGGAGGTCTGGAAGCGCAGCAGCTTGGCCAGGCGGGTTCTGTTGGAGTGATCCTCAATGACTCCCAGCTTAACGTTGGTCCCGAACTCCTTCCAGAACTTATCGTTGTACTGTTCCTCCGCAATCTTCTTGATCATGTCCAAAGTCTTACGGACCAGCTTCTTACGAATGACCTGAGAAAAAAATCAGAGATGGTATTTTATCACATTCTGTCCAAAATAAATGGTGACAACACCGTTTCCTGACCTCCCTTTGAGGACTTTTGTTTGACTTACCTTCAGCAGTTTGTGCTGCTGCAGAGTCTCTCTGGACACGTTGAGAGGAAGGTCATCGGAGTCGACCTAATAGAGTACATAGCTCTTAATTTCAGAGCAGGTGAATATAAAAGCAGAGACTAAGCAGCGAGCTTTCGAATAACTCACCACTCCCTTGACAAAGTTCAGATACTTGGGCATCATGTCGTTGAAGTCGTCAGTGATGAAAACTCTTCTCACAAACAGCTTAAAACAAAAACAATACAAAAAAAAGTTTCAAACTAGATTCTAAAGCAAATTTCATATGACTGCTATAAAAGCACAGAGTCCCCCAAAATTTAAACTAGATACCACTTAGGGCACAAACCTTGATGTAATCGTTCTTCTTGGAGCCGTACTCGTCAAAGAGGCCGCGGGGGGCCGAGGTCGGAATGAAAAGGATGGATTTGAAGGTAACCTCGCCCTCAGCTGTGAAGTGGATGTGAGCCAGAGGATTGTCACTGTCCTGTTGAATGAGAAAACATTTGGATTTCAGGAAGAAAAAAAACAAAGAAAGAGCCTCAAGATGCCCGATCAACATGGCAGCCCGTCAAAGCTTTGTGGTTCATGTGCCCACCTTTGAGAAGGTCTTGTAGAAAGCGTTGTACTCATCTTCCTCAACCTCCTTGGCGGGTCTCTGCCAGATGGGCTTGATGTCATTCATCAGCTCCCAGTCCCACACAGTCTTCTCCACCTACAACACACAATTACAAGTGTCAAATATAGAAAAAGGAACCATCTACAGTTTCATTTGGTGTTGAAGACACCGTCAGGGTGAGTCAGAGAGCAAAGTGTTTAGAATTTTAGAGGTCAGCAGAAATCCCAGTGAAACATTAACGCTTTGGCCTCTATAGCATGAAAACATTTACCTTCTTCGTCTTTGGCTTGTCTTTGTCCTCCTCCTCTTCCTCTACTTCAACATCATCCTCGGAAGCCTCCTTCTCCGGCTCCTCTGCTTCAGCATCGTCTTCAATGGGCTCCTCAACAGTCTCGGTCTAACATGTTTAAGAAAGATATGAGGCACCCGTCACGCACGCAGTCACAATCTTTTTGTTTAAAAATGTAACTGGATGGGAATTAAATAAAAGTCTGATTGTGAAAGGGGTGGAGAAATCACCTTGCTGGCCCAAACGTAGATGGGGAAGTTGATGAACTGAGAATACTTCCTGACGAGGTTCTTGATGGTCTCCAGCTCAAGATAGTCCGAGGCCTCCTCTTTGAGGACCAATCTGTGGTTAGACAGATGAGAATTTTGGATTAAAATCAGGAGTTCAATAAAATTGTAAAGTAGAATCACAGCAAATGAAACATTTCTATGATCAGTGTGGAAATTAACTCGTAGCAAACATTTGTAGGGAATAAAAAGGATAGCCTACGTGATGGTGGATCCTCTGCCCAGTGTGTCCCCGCGTGGATCCTCGATGACAGAAAACTGATTCGAGTCGGACTCCCAGATGTGCTGAGTGCCATTGTTGTGCTTGGATGTAACGATGACCTTGTCGGCAACAAGAAAAGCAGAGTAGAAACCCACACCAAACTGTCCGATCAGCTCCGAAGTGGACTGGCCCTCAGTCTGCATCTCCGTCATCTTGTTGAGAAACTCGCTGGTGCCCGATTTGGCAATGGTGCCCAAGTTCTTTACAAGCTCCTCTTTGGTCATACCAATACCAGTATCGGTGATGTGGAGCATGTTCTTCTCCTTATCAGACTGTGGATGAAGATTACAATTAAAATTGCAAACGGTCAAAACGACTAGTCACATGAAGAATGAAGACAAACATAGAAGTGCATACTTTAATTTTGATGGTCAGTTCTTCGTTGGCGGCCAATGCATCGTCATTGGTCAGTGACAACAAACGGATCTTATCCAGAGCATCTGAGGCATTAGAAATCAGCTCCCTGAGAAAGATCTGCACCAAAAAGAGAAAACAGGAGATGATGAGCAAAACCACTATCGTACATCTTAAGAGCTCATTCAACAGGACTGCCAATTGTAAATATTACATCTCTTCAAACACACCTCCTTGTTCTTGTAGAGAGAGTTGATAATGAGCTTCATCATACGGTTGACTTCAGCCTGAAAGACATGCTTTTCAGACTTTTCCCTGAGTTCCTTAATCTGTGCAGCATTCAAACCGTCCAGCTGGATAGCCTCCTCCTCTCTGAGGGCAGACAGATGCACAGGTGAGACAAAGGGTACACACAGCTGTCAAACATCTGCTCCGCTGACAGCGAGAAAACCCCAAAAGGCTTGTTGGTAGGCCGTTCGGGGAGTTGCCTCATCTTATATTTTTAGGTTGCGCTGACCTTTTTATGTACACAGCTTTGGTCACGTTAACCTGGTGCTGTTCACTCTGAGGTTTAGGTGACTGGGTTCCAACAATCTCTGCACAACTGCCAAGTAAATGAGACCCACCTCTGCACTACCTCGTCATCGGTTCTGGAGCCATCCCTGCTTTTCCCCAAGTCGTCATCTACTGTCCCTTCGACGTCAACTTCATCCTCAGCCTTTACAGCAGCTGCCAAGGGACAGAGAAAAAGTTAGTACCTTTTCGTAAGAAGTGCCATTTACACGTCCCTACTTTTGCCTGACAAAAGAAAATGCAAAGCAGGATCATTCAAATCGTAGAATAAGATGCCATGTTGAGTTGACGTAACTTAACCGAAATAATTATTTTGTGCATGCGTTTAACATGCAACCATTTTTCATCAAACTACATAATTTAACACTTAGCTAAAATAGCTAGGTTTAACAAATGCGTTTCTGATAGAAACTTCTGGAAAGACAAGAATAACGGATGCTGGCGTTGCTCCGAGGAATTTAACAGTTATCTAAAACTAACCCTTGTACAAACGTAGGCATAGAAGCTGTAAATCTACAACTATTCTTACCATTTATAACCAGTGAAGAAGCAAACATAAAGAAAGAAAGCAAGTTAACACTAGCTTACGTGCTAATAATAGCCCAAGTGTGGGATAAGAATGAATGAGATTAGATAGCAAATAGTTTCACTACTTACCAAAGGCTAAAAGAGCGAAAAGAAGCCCTAGCACCCAGACTCGTTTCATTTTGAGATACTAGAATGACACTGTGAGTCTTCAGCTGCCGAGACAAAAGCCGGGGAAGCAGCGCATGCAGCACTGGCTTTACAACGGAGAATATCCACCAACCTCTCTACCAAACGAGCCCACTATATTACACCCGTGACAACTGACCAATGGTTGCGTACCACGCACAAGCCCTGGCCAGTCATAGCAGAGCTTTCCGTACATTCCCTCCAATCAAATCCGTCAACATAAGTCGAAGCCCGAAAATCGTGGCTCGCCACCATTGGCCAGGAATGAATAACCAGCACATCACTTCCTAAAATTTACCTTTCATTGTAGAAAAAAAAAATCTCAGTCAAAGCGATGGCTAAAGTTCGATTATCTTATGTAATGTCAAGAGCAAGTGACACAGAATTGTACAAACATCAAATGGGAGGAACGCTTTGGTTTATGGTTCTACGAACAGGACACTGTGTCAGCTCTAGTATTTCTACACGTTCAAATAGTTTGCTTTGCGCAAACATATTGTGTGCAAGTTTGTGATGTCCACTGATCGTCATTCAAAGATGTGGACTCACATAGTCATATGGAAGCATAAAAGGTCTACCCTGAAAGAGTATATCCCAAAAATGAAGTGTTGTATAGTAAGAATATATATATTTATATACATATGAGTAATTCAGCCGTTTTCACTGTGTGCCCTCCTTTCCTCCCACTGTAAACCTCGAAAGGTTTTATTTCCCTGAGACCCCGAGCACATGAAACTCAGAAAAGTGATGCAAGGATTGCATAAATGAATAAATTGAATGAATTTGAATTGCACCTCTCATCTTTCTCCACAAGGTGACACCACTCAGAAACTGAGTTTATCTATGTAAGCTATTTGATGGAAGCTTTTATATTCACCCAAAATGATTTGGAGCAAGAGTAAGACTGTGGCTCACTTGACAAACAAATGGTTAATTTTTGTATGTAAAAAGGCCCAAAAAGGTAAACTAAAGACCCAGAGAAAACGTATGCCAGCTCAGGGAGAAGAACAAGCAAACTCAACTGAAAGGCCCAGGTCAGCCATCTTTTAGCCTTGAACTATGGTGCTGTGAAGCCAGGGCTGCAAACAAACACAACTAAACATGACTCAAATGCAAATGAAAGTTCTCTTACATGTTATTGTTATTTTTTTCTGCCGTTGTTTTTTTTCCTGTAAAGTCATCACTTTGAGAAAGTCAGTCAAAATTAGGCTGTGAAAAGCTCGTCCTGAGAAATGAATAGCACTTCTAGTAGGATGCCATACTTTGGACTTCATTGTTAGATATGAGTCCATATAAGCAACCAACTTAGTGAAATATTTTAAATATTAGGCTTCGGAGACTGATTGACTGAATAAAGTTACACTACATCTGCAAATGACCTCTTTGCTGGATAGATAGACACAAAACCTTTCACTGTTGAGACTAAGAAAAAAAAAACTTTCTTTTGTCATCCATCAGCATGTATTAATTTAGAATTTGTATTTTTTTTTTAGGTTGGTTCTAGGCAATAATAGCCTATCATAAAGTAATAAATTCTAAATTGTTTTTATAAATTATTAATTCATAATAATCAATATTCTGATATTCTGATAATTATTATAAGACAGCATTTCATAAATATGCCTCCAAAGCATCCGTCCATATGTTTGATTTTTTGTTTTTTGTACACTTTTAATTTGTCTTCCCCACAAATTCAACGAGTTTTACTTTCTTGTAAAGTTTTACAAGCACATTTTTGGGTTTAATACCGCTGTCAAACTGCACGATGGCGGGATGTTTTCAGCAGAATTTTAGTAATTCTACCCGATGAGCAGCTGTGTGTGTGGACATTCAGCAGAGACCCATAACCAGTCGCATCGGCCTGTGATTGGCTGGGCTGGCTGGGACCTTTCCAAACACGGAAGTGACGTCAGAACAGCCATACAGTGTGCAGTTTCGATATTTCCAGAGGAGGTTGCACCCGCATTCCGTCATCTGGGAGTCCACTGCGACCTCCGCAAGGTTCGCCGGGCGGTGAACAGAGCAATGGCGACCTTCTCATACCCCGTTTCGACTCTTTTGAAACACACGTACTGTGTACAGAGGGCGAACGTTTTCTTTAATGTCGCACAGGGTTTACCCCAGCACACGTTCAGGTCTCTCCTGTGGAAACGGAATTTCAAGGCGGTATCCCGCGGAGTGGGGCAACTACTGTCCCACCGACCCGGAGCCGTAAACTACGCAGCATCCGCGTGCAGCAGCTCCACAGACGGCCGGGACATAACTGACAAGCTGTGGTCTGTTTACAATGACACCAAAAGGCAGACACAGGGTATGAGCACTGTCACGTCTCGGGCATTGGAAAAAAAAAAAGTTGACTGTTGTTGCTTTATGACCCAGCTATGACTAATGCACCGAGCTGATAAATGCAACATGTTACACAGCCCTGCTGTCACCTCAGTGCCTCCACCTGCCTTCAAGAGAGGGAAGGGTTGACATTTTTTATCAGATTATAGCGACTGTATTTGACTGTGTTTAAAAGCTAATTCCTGATGGCAATCAATACAACACAGGATTTCAACCGGACATTTCACCCAATCCTGACATGTGTCGTGTCAAATATGGATGTATATGTGTGTGCACACTGAATATGTCCCTGAACAGAGACAGTGTACAGACTCTCTCTGTTCAGGGGCATATTCAGATGCTTTAAGGAAACGTGACACCGTCAGATTCCTCTGTCTGCAAACGCTTCTCTGTTACAGCCACATGTAAATACCCTGTTAAACAAAGACCACTGACCTTTCTCCTCTCTGATGTGACCCCAGCTACGTCCGCCTGCCACGTGGACCCCGACACCATATTTGCCAACAACGAGATGAGGCTGCGCGACATAGAGATCTTCGGCTTCGATTATGACTACACCCTGGCGTTCTACTCCAGCCACCTCCACACACTTATTTTCAACATAGCCCGGGATATCCTCATCACTAACCACCGGGTGGGGGCAGTGTGAGACTTTCTAAGCTTCTGTGTAACCCAGACAGTAGCATAACACCCAGCAACGTATTATTCCTCACATAATTGTGTTACACTTTAATGTCCATAATTATCTGTGATACATCTACCATGTATGTAGTTGTGATTTGTGTCAGGGATACCACTCAGATGTTTTGGCATTCAGTGGATGAAAATAAGTCTTACAGTAATTCTCTAAGAATTCAAACCTAGTCTTCCTTTATTGTTTCAGTATCCAGAAGGCCTGCGGAAGTATGAGTATATTCCAGATTTTGCCGTGAGGGGACTTCACTATGATGTCCAGAAGGTGAAAATAGCTTTTCGTGTTCTTAACTGTTAAGGCAACAATTGCATATGTTGTAATATAAGATAATATTAGCCTTTTCAGCAGAACGTTTTGTTATTTGTTATAGGCTCTGCTGATGAAGATAGATGCCTTTCACTATATCCAGTTGGGAACAGTGTACAGGTATTTGAGTGCTAGATAGTAAGGCTTATCAAATCACAACAAAGGATTCTAATGTTGAAATGTTTAATATAGCTGAATTGCTGTAGATTTATTATTACAACACCAGAAAAGCAGCACAAAATGCAGTGCTCTGGATAACATGATCATCTGATGATTTGTGAAATATTTGGTTTCTAATGCAGAGGTCTTAATCCAGTTCCTGATGAGGAAGTAATCGCCATGTATGAAGGCTCTCATGTACCTCTAGAAAACATGAGTGACTTCTACGGCAAGGTGACGATCACTTACACACGCACCCGTTCTAACACGGACACTTGAGACACCAACAGGTATGATAATGAGTTTCTCTGTCTTGCAGAGTTCACACGGCCACACCATGAAACAGTTCATGGACATATTCTCCTTGCCTGAGATGACCCTCCTGTCATGTGTCAATGACTTTTTCATGAAGCACAATATTGACTACGAGCCCGTCCATCTCTACAAAGATGTAAAGGTGAGGCCTCATTGCTGCTGTTGCGCAACTCCTAAGGGACCCTTGTTTCTTACCATTTCAATTTAGTTTTATTCGCATTATCCCAAATGACAACAATTGTTATCTTTAGGCACTATAAAGAAACGGCTCAAATAAATCCAATTACTACAGTTGATTGTAATAATTCAATCAATTAAAACTCAATGGATTTTAAAGTATTCCGATTCGTATTAGCCGGTAACCCAACAGCCGGCCTCAATCAATCCCATCTCCTTTCCTGAGCATGCACAAGGTGACAGTAGAAAGAAAAAACTCAATTTCAGCCGGGAGAAACCTCTGGGAGAGCCAGGCTCAAGGCGGGCAGCCATCTGGGCAGGAAAGAGGAGAGAGGACAGGAAACTCCGCCTGGGGAGGAGTTCTAGTGCATTTACATGCAGGTGCAGAGCTGTGATACTCTAACCATTCACTGCCATATTAATTTTAGCTTTGAAAACCAGGTTCTAATTTTAGCTGAGCAGGCTCGCCTCCAGCCATGTGGCTGCAGCACTTGACAGGGGAGCAGGGAGACATCATGGCTCAGTTCTTCCTTTGAGGCGGGCTGTCATGCTGCTGCTGTCTGTTTTAGGTGACGCCGCAGCGTTTTTGACACATAGCTGTCTTTGAAGGCACTCTCACGTGCCCTCTTTGAAAAATGCCTTTCATATCTTCTCAAGGACGCCCTCTTTAATCTTTTTGTCTTGCTTGCTTTATTATTCAGCACCAAATGACCAATTTTAAACTTTTTTTACTGACTTCAGAGTTTTAGTGAATCAGATAATCTTTGATAAATGTCCTAAATTTTCCCTTAAATATGCAGGTGTTCAGGACGAGGCCTTTTCACCAATACATTGATTTAAAAGTTGTCTTGCGGTGTCAACAAAGCAGCCTAACTGCTCTGTTTATGCTTCATTTGTATTCTGAAATGGATTCTCTTTATGCTTCCAAGTGAAGTGTTTTTAGAAAGAGCAAAGCGGCAGTCAGTGCTGAATGCTAATGTTTCCTCCCTGATTATGGGACTTGTTGGCTGAGGGCTGTTTAATTTTTCTTTTTCACAGGAAGCTATCAGAGATGTTCACGTCAAGGGCATTATGTACCGAGCTGTGGAGGCAGATATCGGTAATGCTTTTTGAATGACATCTCTTTGTTTGAATTCATGAACATATTGCCATATCTGAGTTTTTGCCAAGACAAAAACACAAACCGTCTGAAACTCTTAGCCCTTTTGCTTTTACCATTTCAGAGAAATACATTTGGTACGGTGAGCAAAGCCACGCCGTGCTGAAAAAGCTGTCAGCGCTCGGAAAAAAGATGTTCCTCATCACCAACAGCCCCTTTGACTTTGTGTAAGTGAGAGCAAAGTGTTTTTTGACAGGATTAATTAAAAAAATGTCGTGTTTTTTTTGCAATCTTGTTTTTTTTTTTCTGCCTTCATGTTTTCTGTCCCATATTTAATGGATGGCCAAACACACATCAGTGCGCTTGTGTTTGCAATTCCGTACAGTAACTCACGAGCTCCGGAGCCTTTTGAAGTCTGGGCTGTTTCCACAAATTGGTCGTCTAGGCATTTCCAGCTTCAAAAGATTTCCCGGAGCTGAAAAGCCCTGAAATGATGTCCTTCTTGTTAATATTAGTTACATTGAGTCACACAGCAATAAGGAGGGGTCGTGTGCATGCAGAAATTTAAAAAGGTTTTTATTAAAGGCGCATGCTAGACTGATAAGGCTTTCAGTGTTTTGATGAATTAATACTGAGATGCCTCCTGGAAACTCTAGGAGTTTAGTTGCATTCAGCACAGGAGGCAGACCAGGTTGTCCACTAATTGGAAAGTTGTTTGTTGGATCCTGGCTCCTTAGCGCCACATGCTGATGTGTCCTTGGGCAAGAGAATGAATCCTCAGCATGTGAATGTGTGAAAAATCTGTCCGTGGTTAGCACAGTAGTGTGTGTAATATACCAACAGTGCAAATGGTTGAATATGAGTGGGACCAGAGATATGATATATAGTAGCTTTCTTTTGTTAGTCCACTAGCTTCTGCTCAGATGGATTCAGTGTAGCAAGGTTTAAGAACATGGTTGAAGAATTTTGCAATCACAACAGCTTAGTGGTTTACTTTTACACATCTTCTCACTGTGTGATGATTTCTTGCTCCTCCTCAGGGACCGGGGAATGAGCTACATTGTTGGAAAGGACTGGAGGGACCTGTTTGATGTTGTGATTGTTCAGGCTGACAAACCCAGCTTCTTCAATGACAGGAGAAAGTAAGTGGTCTCAAATGCATCTCATACTTGTGCATCCCACTAGAGGGCCTTAGAAGCACACATACAAACACACACACATACATACACACACACACACAAGCCTTGTCTAATGAGATGCATACTTGTAATGTAGGTGCATCTACCAGTGTTATGAGAGGCTGTGCTGCTTGCATTTTGTTGCAGACCCTTCAGGCGAGTGACAAACAAAGGAGTTTTGCTGTGGGACCGAATTCACAAGCTGGGAAAGGGGCAGATCTACAAACAGGTGCTGTATCCTTCTAAGCACATAAAAGAAACTTTAGCATTGCTACTGTTGATGCACCTCATGATCATCCAACACAAGAGTATCTGTCTTAAATCTGTTTTTCTTACATTTTTTGTTTGGAAACAGGGAAACCTCTATGAGTTCCTCAGACTCACCGGCTGGAGTGGATCCAAAGTACTCTACTTTGGAGACCACATCTACAGTGACTTGGCGGTACGTAACTTTAGGGCATATTTACAAAGCATGATCACCTCATTATGATGATAAACACAGAGGAAACACCTTTGTTTGTTTGTTTATTTAAAAGAAGGAAATGCTCCTAGATTCTTTGCAGCAGTCTGAATCCTCCCGCTTTGGTAGAGGATGTACAGAGTCAGATGCAGAATGAAACAGAATAATTGATTGTGAAATAACTGGGTTGAGAATGTAACACTTTACGCATTACATTTCTTTTACTGAATCAGTGCAGTGGGTTAGGCGGACATTTTAATGGGTGTCTCCACATACATCACACCTACTGTACCTCATCAACAGTAATGAGGATCACCCCACCTCATTTACCTTTTCATCTGCAACAGCAGCTGTCTCTCATCTGTGCCAGAAAGAATTTGCCTGCATCAGTACATTTTACTGCATCACAGAGTTGAAGTGATTCAGATATGCGAACAGATATGCTTGATCATCTGTGAAGAGTGATATTGGAAGATTGAGTTTATATCTTTGGCCTGATGCCCAGATGGTGGCAGGCAGCCATGGGTCAATTATACTATCTTGCTTGTTTAGACTTATGGAACTTGGCGTCTGTAGCTTACACCATACAAAAATGACTATCAGATTAAGGCTGTAAATGGAAATCATAACCGCAGGATGGCACGGAGCGTGATCATCTAATGGCTTCTAAAGGTTTGGTTCAAGCCCACAGAGTTCAAAGACGTGTCCCCTGAACCCATGTCCATGTTAGATCGGCTGTTCACAAATCTGTTTCGTGTTGGTCTGATGAGCATTAGATAGTGAAACTAAAAGGCACAACACCTAACCTTTTAACACCCTTTTACATTTTTCACTGATAAGACTTGGTCAGAGGATGCACTGGAGGAAGTGCACTTACCTCACCGAGCTGTAAAATTTAATTTAGGTACGTGATGCCTAAATGAAGCATCAGCTATGACATTTCTTTTTCAAAATTTGATATTTTTAACATACAGAGTCACCCCAACTATCCCAGATAAAAACATTGATTCTGGTTGTTATTGCTCCAATAACAAAGAAATATTTTGCCATCCTTTTTTCCAAGTGTAGATGTTTAAGGGTTAATGGAAAGGCTGGAGTGGCTGATCAGAATACAATTAAACAAAAATCTAAACAAAAATCCAACAGCAAAAAGGACTGTATGACGTACTGATTAAATTATGGGTTTTCTGTGTTTTCTGCGCCTGGCTTTGTTGTGGTATTTTTCCCCTTTGAGCTACAGTAAACAAGGTTGTGGTTATATAACCATGGTGTCGCATCATTGTGCAGCTCCAGTGAGTGTGTGTTTTGGACTGTTAATTGACATTTTAAGTGCACCGCCACACAGGTCTGTTGTGGCAACGTTGCTAGTACTGCTAATAGAAGTGTGCGTGTTTGCTGTGGTACGTAATAAAGCTTGGAAACTACTCCTATTTTCTTATTAATGCTTTGTTTTCTGCATATGGGTCCCTCACAACAACCTTAAACATCACTGACTGATGGTGTTCCACACCGTAGCCTGGCTCGTTGCAGATCTTTCTATTCTTTGTTCACCAGGATCTCACTCTGAAACATGGTTGGAGGACAGGTGCAATAATCCCCGAGCTGAGGAAGGAGATCAAGATCATGAACACTCAGGAGTATGTGCAGATGATGACCTGGTTGCAGGCACTGTCTGGACTCATTGAACAGATGCAGGTAGGGAGACTATATCAGACCTATGCGTAAAGCTTCTTTGTGCCATTATCACATCTGCCGTTTCCCTCCATCCTGACAACTTTGGGATTAACTTCTTGTGTCCTTCAAACAGGTACACAGAGACCCGGCATCCCAGGCCGTCGTCGAGGAGTGGATCAGAGAACGAGAAGCCATGAAGTAATATAGAGCGGATGAGTTATAACAATGGTTTATTTAGATCTTTTTGGAAAGAACCTAACAATATCTTGTTCGTATGTGTTCACTTGACAGGCCGCAGACAAAGGACATCTTCAACGCTCAGTTCGGCAGCCTCTTCCGCACCTACCACAACCCCACCTACTTCTCCCGCCGACTCTCCCGCTTCGCCGACATCTACATGGCCTCCATTAGCTGCATGCTCAACTACGACCTCCAGCACACCTTCTTCCCTCGACGCACTCCCCTGCAGCACGAGGCTCCGTTCTGGCCGGAGCATGGCTCAGGATCCTGTTCTCCAACTCCCCAGAACCAGAGCAGCAGCTAAACACGGAAGAGCTTTTTTTTGTTTATCGGGATACTGTAAAAAAGTCCGGCTTGAATTAAGCATACTGCAGTGGGTATCGGTCATAAAAACTGTTGATGTTTAAATTAGTTATTTATATCCATACTTCCAAATTATTCAGTCTTAAGAGAAAAAAGCTGTATTTAATGCTATTTATGCCAGATGTATGTTACTTTGTGTGTTTGTGGGTGTGAGAGGAAGGAAAATGTTTGTTCTTTTCAAGAGAGAAAAACAAGCATGTGCTTGGAGCAGATTTATTTAAAACAATACTTGTTTTACACAGTCTAAACAGTAGGGGGCAATCACACACCAAGCTCAATGTGTATATTTATATTATCTTTGCCTTTTTCTGTCCTCTGCTTAAGATCATGGAATGGTATTTTTACGTTCATATTATATACTCTGTTGCCTTAACCCTTTTTTTCACAGTACCTATAAGTTTATTTATTTTATAAAGAGGGGATTTAAGTGTTTATCTTTTTCAAATTAAGCCAGCCTGCATCTTGGTTCATTTCATTTTGTGCTCTCATTGGCACACTCTACAGATTGATGTTCTAATATCTGTGTGTTGAATAGTGTTAAGTATTTCTGCCCAACACAGCCTGCACATGTCATTTTAGCAGATGGGAAAATTAGATTTCTCAGGAAGTGTTTTGACATTATTTGGTGTGAATTTTGCTATTTGTTCTGTGATTAAAGCTGCGTTGAGCTTCTTTCACAGTTTTACTGAGAACGGGTAGACTATGTTGCACATGTTTAGACACGCAGCCTCTCAAAGAATATTTTTGAAAAGGGAATTTACACGGGAGGGGAAATAAAAGTGGCCACTACCAAACCTCATAGCATCATTTTGTAGTTTTAAATGTGTGTTGATGAAGTGTGCTTATTTTTTCCTTTCAATTAAAATGCCTGATTCTCTCCCAGTGCTTATGTTGTTATTTGGATGAATTTAATGTTGACTGACAGTCGCTGTAATCAGATTTAATTGTGTGCTTATTGAATACATGTCCATTTGTGTGCAATATTTTTTGCTAATTTAACAGCATTAACATTAGAAGGTTTGAGGACTTGAAAATCCATTCGAGGGCTCATTATTGTTTGTCAAATTTAACTTTTCAATTACTATTATAACAGTGGGTTTATTGGACCTAATCCCCACAAATCTTGTTACAAACCAATTTCCCATATTGCTTTTGGGGCTTTCCTAATCAGACAGGTGCTCAACAAGACATCTGGGACAATAAGAAAAAGCCACCAGGGATCAGATGTGATAAAGTCTCTGATGCTGACGCCTGGGTTAGGGTTAGCGTCTGCGGGTTCACTTTCCTGTCTTCAGAGTAGCCTCATCAGAGGTTGGAGCATTTGGGCAACATGGACAGTAACAGCACGCCATGGACCTCCAGCTTTCCTGCGTCCGTCTACACGGAGGTGATGGGGACTGCGGCGCCCACCATCTTCCCTCGGGTGGGCTACAGCATACTGTCTTTCCTCATGTTCATCAACACCGTGTTGTCAGTTTTCAACAACAGTCTGGTCATAACGGTGATGCTAAGGAATCCGTCTCTCCTCCAACCTATGAATGTTTTCATCTTCAGCCTGGCTGTGTCTGATCTCATGATCGCCTTGTGCGGCTCCTTGGTCGCCACCATCACAAACTACCAGGGCTCTTACTTTATTGGCTACGGAGCTTGTGTGTTTCAAGGGTTTTCAGTGAATTATTTTGGTGAGTGTAGCCGCAAGGAGGTCTTTCTTGTCTTGGTGGAGTTTATGGGTAGATTTGGGCTACTTTTTTTTGCTTCTTCCTTGTGAAACTGTGACTGTGACGGTTTACTGACTGTCCTTTTATGATCTTGTATCACTGTCCTGCATGATATAGGTTTTTTACAGCTAAGTCCATAAGACATCACCTGATTTGCAGTTGTGAGTTTATATTCTATGTTTTTACTTGTGTGTAATGTAATGCAGATTTTTCTCCCCTGCTTAGGTCTGGTGTCTCTCTGCACTCTCACTCTACTTTCCTATGAGCGGTACAATGTGGTGTGTAACCCAAAAGCTGGTTTTAAACTGAGCATGCGGAGAAGCATCATTGGGCTGATTTCTGTCTGGGTCTTCTGCTTGTTTTGGGCCATTACTCCATTATTTGGCTGGAGCTCCTACGGACCTGAGGGGGTCCAGACGTCCTGCTCTCTGGCATGGGAAGAGAGATCATGGAGTAACTACAGCTATCTGATCCTCTACACACTCCTGTGCTTCATCCTTCCTGTGGCAATTATCATCTACTGCTATTGCAAAGTTCTGAAATCATTAAATAAGGTAGGCTTGTGGCTTTTGTCACATATAAAAACACTTTGCAGGCATTTAAAATGTTCTTACCTGACTTTGTTTGTGCATCATATATATATATATTTTTAAATGACTCATGTTTTTCTTTCCACCAGCTGAACAGAAGCATTGAGTTGCAAGGCGGACATTCCAGGCAGAGAGAGAATGATCATGCTGTCATTATGGTGCTGGCAATGATTGTTTCATTCTTTGTCTGCTGGCTGCCTTACACGGCATTGTCGGTGGTTGTGGTCGTGGATCCAGATTTGTACATCCCTCCGCTGGTCGCCACATTGCCCATGTACTTTGCCAAGACCAGCCCGGTGTACAACCCCATCATCTACTTCCTCACAAACAAGCAGGTGAGCCACACGCGTTTACGTCAAAAGGGAGGAAACACGTTTTAACAGCCCAGAGATTTCCTGACGGGGTGTGTGTTTTTTCACATCCACCAGTTCCGTGACTGCGCCCTGGAGGTGTTGTCCTGCGGGCAGTATATCCCCCGTGGGCCGACCAGCATCAGCATCCCCATGCGCCCCGTGAGCAGGAGGAGCTGTCTGTCGGCCGTGAGCAGGAGCGCCAGCACGCACAGCAAGGTGCTGCCCGTGTGATTCCTGCCTGCCAAAAACCAACAAGGTGACACGGTTGACAGTGTTTATTGTCGCCTCATCGAGGACACAAACCTGAGGGCTCCGCAGGCTCGTGTCATTCACAGAGGTTAGCGCCGTTTTAAGATTGAGAACAGACACTGATTGCTGAATTTCAAATGGTGGAGGAGTTGCAGGGAAACTCATTATATGCAGTAATGAAATAGAAAAGCATAACTGGGAAATTTTCTTTTCTTTTTTTTTTTTGCATCCTTTATTGAGACTAGTATTGTTCTGCCACAGGTTTGAACACCATTCCTTTCCGGGTAGTTGTTATTGTTTAAGTCAAACTCTTTCATATTGTACCAATGAGAGTATTAAATTATTTCAGCGATTTGTTTGAAGTCAGTCAACCGCTGCATTTTTGTATTGATTGTTGTAGGTTTATTTGATACTATTCAGATTGAGAAATGAGATCTTGTGAGGAAAGAAAACATTGATTGAAAACAATGTTTGGTAAAACTGCTCTGTAGTTCCAGTTCGTAATTTCCCATTTGTATGCATACTCATCAAGACAAGACGAGCAATCATAGCAGGCCTGCAAAGGGATTAAAGTCCCTTTTATTAAAGAAATGAAAGGCAACAGATCTATGTAACATATACAAATATAATTTTTTCCTATTATTATGTAAGAAGAAAACTCTCCCCGCGACCCCATCAGGGAATAAGCGGTAATGATAATGGATGGATGGATGGACTAAAACATGGCCAGCAACTAAAGTCTTCTCCATCATCTTAGGCAAATTCTTGTTTAAAACAATATCTTGAGGCCTGTCAAATGTCTTCTGCATCAAAAACCGCTGCAACCTATACAGGGATAATTTAACCCAAAACCTCCTATATGGATTTGCAAAATCATAAGACAAAAAAAACATGATAAAACTGCACTGAAATCTTTTAATTGGTACTGGCCTGTCCAGGGTGTTCTGTACCTCTCACTCAATGGAATAAGTTGGAATATCAAATATATGGGTGGATATCATATGGGTGAATTTCTTTTTGTGTATTTTTTCTACTTAATAGATAGCTAAATGGGACATTAGGTAGTTAAGAGAAGGACAGCATAATGATTAACAATTCTGGACTTCTTTCAAACTCAGAAAAACCTTGTCTCAAATGGCACAAGCTACATCTCACAATGAGTCATCGGGATTAATGCGTCACTGGATAACGATAAAGCAAAATGATTCATCCTTCTTTTAGTTGCTGTAAACAAATGGGATTTAAGAAGGGTTTATATGAATAGATTATTTATTTGTATAGTGGACTCTCCAAGAACTTCAGCTGAATGTTTTCAGAGTTACTATAAAAAATCTTTCCCTGAGTGTTCCCACTTAACGAATAGCCGGAAAATTTGCTAGTGTTAGTTAATCTTAAAGCAATAAATAGTTCCAATCTATGTTTGATACCCCACTTTAATATTAGCTATTTAACTTTGTATGTAACTTTACTATTTTGTAGACTTGTTAGCCATTTTCGAAGAGTTTGATTTTGTATGTTTGAGTTTGAGTTTGATTCTGTGTCTTGTGATTCTGATGTTCCCCTCCATAATTGTATTCAATGATTTCAAATGGTGTAATTGTGTAATTGCTTTTAAATAAAGTGTCTAGAGCAGTTTTTCTTCCTGAGCAACACATTTGATCTTGTGTCTGTTCATTGTGGTCTGATGTTGCATTGATTGTTTGATCAGTCCAGACCTTAGAATCAATCCAAAGAACTGACTGAGATGAGAGAAGAGAGGGCAACAAGAACACACGTCAGCAGGTTTTTTTCATGAACTTCCAGTCTATCGTCCATTCGATTTCAAGAGATGTTTCCTTGGTCTAATTTGTTGAATGGCCGGGAGTATAATTTATTGTGTTGATCTAATCCCAGATTTGGCAAAGTCTGTAAGCCTCCACATTTGACGCAAAGAGCATTTCACACTTTATCTCCAAACAGGATTACACAATGTCATACCATAATCCGGCAGCACTGCTCCCATCATTTCCTGAGCCAATTCAAGAACTCCCAACTCATCCATCTGGCATACATGATGCCAAGTTTCTAACCTTTTGGAGGTACTGTTTTAAATTAAAGGGAGAGCAGTTCATATGCACCACCGTCCCTAATATTGTCCTTTAGATCTGAACCCCTGGTAGGCCTCATGAAGTTATTTATATCTATATATTTATATATGAATAATCAGGGATGACATAATAGTGACATAACTGCCAGTCAATTAACAACCATCTTTTGTTCCCCTGCTTTGCTCTGCTGTGAATACACTGCAGTTTTTAATGAATATGAACACTGAGACCTCCCAGGTGGCAAACGGGTGCTGTGGAGTGATAATGAAAAGGGCGGGTACTTTGGTGTAACTTGTCCGAGCTGCAGCTTTATCCATTTTTCACTCACTGGAGATGCACTTCGACAGGAGAAGGAGACTTGACGTTTGCTCAGATTACACACGCTGAAGCCAGACCGCCGAGCATGTTGACTCTTTGAACTTGGAGATGAGAGGGGAGCCTATACCTGCATGGGACTCAGGGAACATCACCGTTTGGGAGGAATACATCAACATTGCCCTCGTGGTGGCAAACAGCTTGGTTCTGTTAATCACCTCTGTCGTGGGAATTGCAGCAAATATCTTCGTCATACTCGCAGTGTACCACCAAAAGTCACTGCAAACGTCTATAAATGCACTCGTGGTGAATCTGGCTGTCATAGACTCCCTGCGCTGCATTATCGACTGCCCCATTCTGCTAATAATCATCATGATAGTCTATCAGAGGGAGGCTGTGGACGGTTTGATCTGTGACATCCAAATGGCCTCTTTCTCTTTCAGCTGCTGCATCCAGTTGTTGACTCTGGCATCCATAAGTACGGAGAGATACCTGGCAATCGCGCAACCTTTTAAAGCCAGCCAACGAAAAACACGGACCATGGTACTGATTCCTCTCACGTGGAGCTTGGCTATCGTGGTGGCTGTTTATTGTGTGATGTTTTTGAAAGATTCACCTGTTTATGTGAGATGCCGAGGACCTCAGAGAGGAGCAGAGACCTCCTATGACACCATTGGACTGTACATTTTCTTTCCACTTTGGGCGGCCTGTTTCACTGTGATCATTGGATTCTATGCTCGTATATTTGCCCTTTTGAGATCCCACAATCGCAAAATATTTGATGTAGGTACTTCAGCTCCTAAAAAGGGTTCAGTGGAGGAGAAGGAAAAGAGAGAAGAAATCACAGTGGAAAATGGACATGGGAAATCTGGGCAAGAGCACATCCTTGTTGGTGAAACGCAGGCTAAAGCAAATCTATTCAAGGAAAATTCAAAGCTGACCTCAGCAGAAAGTCAGCATTGTGTCTTCATTATTTCTGAGGAGATAAAAGGATTAAAAAACACAGAGGAGAAGAGTCATACACACGATTCTCCCTCTCTCGCAATCCAGATTGCTGTGGAGGCTGTTGAGAAGCCTTTGAAAACAAATCAATCCAACACCTGTTCCGTGGAAAACGCTAAAAACACTTCCAAAGATGCTTTAACTAATGTTGAGAGCTCAACTACAATGATACTGAAAGTATCAGAAAGCAATTCTAACACAGAAACACTGTCCAGAGAAAGAGAAAAAACTGACAAAGCATCCAAAGAGACAAGTGCCTTTGTTACTGTCTCTTCAAAGTCCCAGGATTCTGAATCTACCTCTGTCTTGGTAACTGATGTGACGCCAGTCCAGAACACGAACACAGAGACACAGCCTGCTGCTTCATCAGATCAACTGGCCTCCCCACCTCCAGTCTTAAGCTCCGAGCCTGTACAGCAGCCTGCAGAGTTAGAAGGAGCTGTTTGCGTAATGCCCTCAAAAGCAAGCAGAGAAAGAGCCAGTAAAAAGAAAGAAAGCAAAATGGCCAAGCGCGCAGGTTACATAATCATAACCTTCCTCCTCTTTTGGCTACCTCTGATCACAACTATCCTTGTGAACTTTTTGATTCATAAAAACAAGAATGCACAGGTAAGTCTTTTCAATATCTTTCATTACAATATAAATTTGTGTTGTAACGGTTTGCATTGTGATATCTGAATGGCCATCTCTGCCCCATGTGTCATGTAGTATGTGTGGCTGGAACCTGTCTATGAAGAGAACTCTAATCCTTTGAAAATTCTCAATTATTTTTACAGATACTATTTCATCAGGACCTGGATATCCTGTCTGTGTCTGTCGCGTGCATCACCTCCCTGAGCGACCCAATAATATACGCTGCAGTAAATCCTCAGTTCCGCTCAGAATTTTATAAATTAAGGAGCTGGATAAAATCCAGATTTAACAAGACGTAATATCTGTGCCTCTATTTACCTTACGGTGATACAAGACTAAATTAGCACATTTGTGTACACGGAGCTAAACCTTCAAACGGATACCATGTTCTAATATCAATTGATCTGAACGGGACGGGCCATAAATCTGAGTTTGTCATTGGTGGTAAGAGGTTTTTTTATTTAATCCATTTGTGTGTAATAGTAGATTTTGCCCTGCTCACTTCTCAGCTGATGCTGATTATGACAGATGTGACGCTTGCTGTGAGAAGTTGCCCAAATCAACAAAGCAAGCGCAGCTGGGGGGGGAGAGACGCTGTGGAGCTCTAAGTCAAACAACCACTGAGGTCGGCCTACATGTCTTCAGAGACCACGCTTATAGGACCCACCGCTGGGCCAGTCAGGCCCTCACATGTTCTCCAGCAGCACATCCTGATTATCCAATCCTGTTATTAGCAAAGCTGTTTGAGTAAAAACAATTATGAAGTCATCCTGTAATGCAGTTTGAAAATAAAAAAAAGACATTGGTCGTTTCAGATGCTTTTCAGTAGAGCTACACTGTTTATTCTATCCACTGCACCAAATGCATGATGTGTGATCCCCCCCCCCTCTCCCTACCCCCAAATATACGCAGTCCTCGACAAAATTAGTATTTCATTAAAAGCAAGGTGTTGAAGAGAACACATCACACCACACCAGCCTTACTGTAACACCCTCCATTATCTGTTTTTTTTTTTTCTCTTTTTTTTACCGACAAACCTCAAACAAGAAGCAGAGACACACTTTAACAAAACAGAATTCGGCAATGACAGCATGCAAATCCTTAATTCAATCAGTTAACAGACAGAAATAGTTGGCCAACAAACCGTTTAACGAAACCTAGAAATAAGAGGAGGCAACTTCAAATGCATTTGATAAAGTCCTAACTGAGATATATACAATATGAAAAATACACAAAATGGCTTTTTAACACAATGAAGTCTAGTAAGTCTTGCTTTTGAATATTATCATTCATGAGGAAGTTATGGAATTGATGTTTAACACTCTTTCATAACATTTTCCAGGTCAATACCACAGTGTGTGTCCACATTAGGGTTAGTATTAGTTTCCAAGAACATTCAGTTACCTTGTGCCCTAACTAATATATACCCTGTATTGTTCTCAATATCACTTAAGAGTGTCTTTCATACAGATTCAGAATGTCAGATATGTAAGATAACACATATTTTCTCATTTTGATTTTCACTTGCACATTTCACAAACATGTCAGGATGCGTTGTATATTTTACTCATCAAGCGATGACATCGACCAGTTAATGAGTCAGTCAATGAATATTCACAGCAGTTAACCATTGCAGTGGATGCACATTTACTGGATTTACAACAGTGAGGGAAATATGAGAAAGGATATCATCGAGGAAATTCAGAAACAATCTATGAAACTGTTGAATGAGATGTATGATAGACAGATCTAATATTCACAAAGATGGTCTTCTGGTAATCAATAAATGTGCTTTGTCACCAAAGGGCATTGAGAATGACCTCTCGCAGTCTGCCTTTCCCCCCCCCACTGAATCAGAGACAACAAATACAACTACAATTACATTTTCAAAAATATTTTTTTCTCAGTATGTATAGGCAACAATGACAGCCACAATTCCCAATATCCCTCCACTCTGCTGTGCTTAATGATGCAAAATCTGCTGGTTCTCTTCAACTTCCCTGGCAGCTGTCCACATCATTTTTTAATACCATGCAGAGTTTGACATCAGATGACATCACTACTTCAAAAAAAAACCAGACCTCTGTTAATCTTATAATCCCTCCAGATTATGGCAGGTTGATGCTTGGTGGTCCCTCTCCTCAGCATCTGGTGCATGTCGAGACCAGTTAGCTGATCAGATCAGATAGGCGTGACATCTACAAGGCAGATACTCGAACAATGTTGCTCTGAGAATACGTTGTGGCTGTGGAGCTGTCCTCGTCCGATGGGGTCACCACAGGTGCGGATAGGCTGACCATGGAGGGGGTGATGTAGGGTTCATCACATTTCAAGGGCACAGTCTCGTCGAGTTTTGCGTTTAGGCAGGAGCGGCTGTGAGAGAAAATCAGATTGAGAGGCTGAGAAGTCTGACCTTGTAAATGCATTACACAAAGCTTGTAATACACTTTTAGAGTCCCTTTTTTCTTACATAAGTACAGAGCCAATTTCTGTGAAAGTTTAAAAGCCTCTTAAGAGAAACATTTTGGGGAAATGTTTGTATTTTTTAGCTGGATTTGTCAGACTCAACAGAAATGACATGAAATAAGGACACTGTATTCAAGAAACCGACAGCTGAGACTGTGTGGAGTGTGTCACACTCTTTACACTCGGGGTTCTTACTGTGAAAAAGCCTTGTTATAGGCTAAATTACATTTCACACAAGAAATGTGTGGAACATTATTCACTACAAAATATCTGCGAAGTGTATTTGCATGTGATCTATGGTGAGATACTACTTCTCTCACGTCAATTTTCCAGCCCCATTTTAAGACAAAAAATATGGGCAAATTGTAAAACATAGTATATTAAGAGATTAACTGTATATAGAGAGGAAAATGAAAATCAGAACAGTAATTAATAGCCATATTTAATACAGTAAACAATGACCAACAATGATCATTATTATATCTGCTACAACATTACAACCACTCTATTCTGATTCTATTCTGACTGCTTTTATACAATGGTCAAAAAAAGATAAAAACAGCCAATGCGCACTTTGCCCATTTTCAATGAGGGTGCTTGGTTTGGGTTAGGGTTGAGGGTATAAGGGTATAACTATTTTCTTCTACAAAAGCAAATAGTTTACCATCACAAAACTGAGAGCCACAAACTCAGGGACGAAAAGAAACGGATCAAATTAATCATACCGAGGGACAGCTGGCGGCTCACTTTAAATCCAACTGTGTGGGGCTGACATCTGCTGTCTAGTAAAAAATAACATACCAGCCTAATTATCTCCTAAAATTGTAGGTATGAGAATATGTGCTCCGAAAAAGCTTACAGAATGTAGTTGTAATGTAAAGTAGGTAAACAGGCATGTCCCCTGGCAGGCAGTTGTAGTCACGGGACCCCCCCCACCCCCCAGAAATACTCTCTTAGCCCACAGAGCAAAGAGGAAAAACAAGCTTGCAATACTAAGTGCTATTTCCCAAAAGTATGGAATACATTAGCTTATTTTAGTGTGCATATCCAGCAGCTGAAAAGTGTCTGGACATATTTCACGGCATCTAAGAAAAATATTTATTCCTCTCTGCCTCTAGAAGAAAATAACGCCATCCCTAAATATTTTTGCAATATCTACAGGGAGAAATGCTACTTTGAAACAGTTTAAATGTTTTTCCAGACAGTCTCCACAACGAAGACGGTTTAGAATTATTGAGAAATAGTACATTTTTCTCAGTTTCACTATTTTGCATCTTTATAATGAAAATCGAAATGGATTTTTTCTGTTATATCTGAATTTCATTTAGGTGTCCATTAACAATTTCCACATCTTGTTATTCACTGATAAGTTTCCTCTTTGATTTTACCGATAAAAATAACTTTTCAGAGCACAGATGTTAACAAACACCTGTGTGCACTGGTCAGGGGCAAAACTATCTGCAGATTCTCTCACAATAAATCAATAATTTAATTTCCCTGCATGGAATCAATGAGGTTTATCTAATCAAAAAGGCCTCTGGGGATTCACTGTCTGCATGTGTTTATGTAATGTGTGTCAAGAGAAAAAAACGGAGATAAAGCAAAACAGACGCGGTACCTGTTGGCCACTGGCCTCTCTCTTATCTGTATGGTGCTGAGCTCCTGGTTGTTTGTGCTGGGGATGCTGAAGCTGTTCTTTTTCCGGTGGCGGCGGGAACAGCACGAGCTGAGGCCGTGTGGAGACGAGGACAGCGAAGAGGCGCGGGAGCCCGACTTGTTCACCACAGAGATCTCCATGCAGTTGGCCTGGAAAGTCTGCTCGTCCACAAACTCGTGATTCTGTCCAGGGAGAAAAACGGTGGAAGAAAAAATCTGGAGTCAGTTGTTGCTTATGAATCACTCTTTCACGTCGGCTAGATAACTAGTAAAGATGTTCCTCAGTTAAGATCTGAACAGACGCTGTTGGAAAATTGTTCGATAATTGGAAAATGAATCATCAAGGGAATGGAACTTTATTGGCCCAGATGTCCATATTAAGTGCCATCTGTGAAAACACAACTGTTATCTCGGTGACAAACGAGTCTGACTTGAAGGTCAGCCTTTACGTGCGTCTACAGCCCGACCAGCAGGTGGCGCCGTGACACCAGGCCTCAGATCCAGCCTCTGTCCTCCCCCTCCCCTTCCCTTTACTCCTGCTCTCCTGTCTGTCCGTTATCTAAAATGTACATCGTGGAGAACCTCATGTAAACATCTGCTCTGCCCTCCGAATGCTACGTTATCGTTACCGAGTCCTCCCACAGACAGGCAACAAGCGCCCTATCAGCGGGAGGATTTATCACGGGCAGCCACACTCATGCACAAGCTCTCCCCGGACAGGGTTTGGGATTTTCAGTGTAAAAATCATGCCACTGCTTTCATGTCGCTATTTGAAATTTAGTGGAACAGGTGTGCTCTACTGACGATACCGCACAGATTGCCAAAACTGACGCAAATATATAAGAAAGTGAAGCCACATAATGTAATATTAGAGAAGTTTGGGAATTTGACTACTTTTTGCTTCTATGATCAAACTCACCAACTTTAAATTGACCTGGCCTTAGATTGTTTTTTCTGTGTGATACAATATGATTTTGCTTTTTAGTTTTATTTTACCAGATAATAAGGCAGCGGCATATTAGAGCCCTGTTGTTTTGCAGTAAACCATTGTAATTTTTGCAAAGAAATGCTCCTGTATATACAGCAAGTACACCCATGAGCACACTATGAAAGCAAGAACCCAAGAGCAGATAAAATGTGGTGTCATTGTTGCTGTCAGTAAGTAATTACGATATCA